CTCTACGATATGTTCCAAATCTAATACAGACATACCTCGGAGATATTGCAGGTTCGGTTCCAGACCACTGCAATGATGCGAATATTGCAATAAAGTCAGTCACACAAATTTCATGGTTTCCCAATGCATATAACAGTTATTTACACTATACTGTACTCTGTTAGTGTGCAATAGCTTTATGTCTAAAAAGACAATGTACATAACCTTAATTAAAAAATACTTTATTGCTGAAAAACGCTAACCATCATTAGAGCCTTCAGTGAGTCATAATCTTTGAGAAGGTCTTGCCCAGGTAACATTAAAGATCAGTGATCAAAGAGCACCATAACCAATATGATAATGAAAACGTTTGAAATATTCTGAGAATTACAAAAATGTGACACAGAGACACAAAGTAAACAAATGCTCTTGGGAAAATGGCACCAATAAATTTGCTCAATGCAGGGTTGCCACAAACCATCAGTTTGTAAAAAACGCAATATCTGCGAAGTGCAATAAAACAAGGCATGCCTGTATTCTATGATTACACGAATTTTAAAGAAATACTTTTAAAGAACCTCTTTAAAAGTTTAGAGAAAAAAATGAAACTGCAGAGTGATGATGATATATAGGAGACGGCAGTGCCTTCCTATCTAGCTCATGCCTTCATGCTTCCCATCTCCCACAGGTGTATAGACCACACTCCAAAACTTAAGCGCTGGATGGCAGCCATGCAGGAAGATCCGGCAGTCTCAGCCCTCCTCACTGATGCGAAGACCTTTCGAGGTTACTTGGATCTCTACTTGCAGGACAGCGTCCAGGCCTGTGACTACGGGCTCTGATGGGGGCAAGAGTCAGCAATGAAGATATGTCTGATATTTTCCTTCACTAATAAAAACAGTTAACATGCTTTAATTTTACCAAAGCTCTCACATTCCATTGGGTCGCCTTCTCTGAGTTGACATGGCTTAACTGTGGGGTTTCCTCAAGGCCCACCTGCACAATATAAACACATTTCCTGTTCAGGATGCTCACATGACTCTAATGGTTCTAACAGAGTCTATGTTGGAAATCTTCTAAATCATGATCTTTGGTGAGATCTAGACTTCAATCTAGATTTCTAATTACACATAGGGCACTTGCATTGGATACCCTGTTGTCATTTCGAAGATGCCCTTTCAAGTTTGTCTTCGGGATTCTGAGTTGAGAAATTTTCAATTCCTCATTCTTTCCTTTCCATCAACTGAATTTCACTCCCTCTTTCATTCCCATTGTTACCTTTGAAGACCAAACCCACATCACCTCAAAGCCAAGTTGACTAGATGACCTCGTATTTGGTCTCCCAATCTCCAATTTCTATCCCCATCGAATTCTTCTTACTAAATCCCATGCTGGGCACGTAGCAGGTGTCCCATATATGTAACTAACTACTGTAAAGACCGCATCCCTCAATTCAGTATGTAAGGCTGGATGAGTAATAAGTAATATTCCCATTCAGGATTTATTAATGCCATCTTCCGTACACTTCCATACCCAATTGGGCTTCTCACTATTTAATTTTTATCATCACATCACCTCCACGAGAAGGTTGGTCGGAGAGTGTTTAATTCTACAGATGATTCAGCTAAGGTCCCGAGGTTAAGTGAGGCTTTAAAACGCTGGCAGAAATATCTGGAAAACATAACCAGCACCCTGTTCATACTAACAATTGGAGAGCTATAGACCCGCCTGTCCCAATACACGCTGGTTTCCTGTACTTAAACGTTAGATCGCGTAACAATCACCTAAGGCCCACAGCTGGATTTCCGATTCAGTAGGTCCTTGGTGGGCTGGGAGGTCCACATTTGAATTGAGCACCCCCTTCCCCGCCTCGCCCCATGGTGATGCGGGAGATCCGGGGCCCGATCACCCCCCTTCGCCTCCCCCTCCCCGCCCCATAGTGATGCAGGAGATCCGGGGCCCGCACCGACAGGCAGCTGAGAACGGCCTGACTTCATAAACGGCCTCGGCCTGCCCACCCTCGAACGCCACCAGCGCCCAAGCTCCGAGTGGACCCGTCTCTGCCGCCGTCGGCCTGCCCCACCCTCTAGGCCAGCGTAGGCTGCGGGCGGACTTCAGTTGCTGGTAGACCTGGACGCTGAGGCGCCAAGGTCAGCCACCACCGGGCTTTTAACTTCGCTAGTCAGAGACCGCAGCGAGTCCTCACGACTCCGGCAGGCATCCGAAGCTTGTAACGCGGCTCCCATTGGCCAGGTCGGCACTGATTGGCTGGAGCCCTTCCAAAGGCTTTGAGGATTGGCTGAAGCTCCTAGAGCCGTGGCCAGTTGGCTGGTGGGATCGCGTTCTAGGGGCGGGTTTCGCCGTCTGCCGCGGTCGCTCTACATCTGGCTCGGTCGGCCTCCCGCGGGTAAAGACTTCGGGGCGTCTCTCTTGTCACCTCCTCCGGGTGGGTCGGTCCGACCGGCGTTTCATTTGAAGGGAAGAGGGGTTTCAGGTCAATTCTGAACTTTGGGATTTTTCACGAGTTTCGGGGCCCAGAATAGGCTTGCCAACTTTTAATTTTGCCTCCTACTTTTAAAAGAAAGTCGTACTATTTCGTCAAAGAATTTAACATAAAAAAAGTACAAGGGCTATATAATCTAAGAATAAAGAACAGGTCTTTAAAGCGAATACCTTTAACTTAAAGGGAAAAAACCATTACATTCTTTTTATTTTTCTGATTTGGCTGGAGACAGGTAAAGATGATTCAGGATCACCAATTCTCAGCCCTGCATGGGGCACCGCAGGTGTAGGTACCTTATAGGGCTCCCGCAGGCAGGGGAATTTGGTCCCAGGGAATGTCCCGTCTTTGTGAGGAAGGACTATGGGTCTTCCCTGCTGCATTTTAATAATAAAAAATAATAGCTAATGTTGAACGCTTACTAGGTAATAGATGAATACTAAGTATTAAGCAATGTTCATCCAGTATTTGAATTAATCCTGCCCAACCCGCCTGATGTGTTGGTACCATCAACTCCGAATTACAAATGAGACCCTCAGAGCATAGAAAGTTGTGATTTGCCCAAGGTCACCCAGCTGGTAAATGCTGAAGAGGAGATTCAAATCAAGCCTGAACTCATGTTCATTCAAGCCCATTCTTGAGAGAAGAGCTCACATGTGCTTCTGCTCCAGTTTCTTTACTCATCAGCTTCTAGCATTTAGAGGTTGAGCCAGGTGAGGATAGTATCCACCTTTTTGGCACCACTATTATGCTTGAGATTTAACCAGAAGTGTTGATGTGTGTGTTGTTTGATCTTACAAATGTTAGACTGTGGCTGATTACAGGATCTTGAAAATCTGCCTCTGTTCATTCAAATGTAACTATATCAAAATGTTAAAAAAATTTTTTTTCTTTGCTTCCTCAAGCTGTAAAATAGAAATAGGGATAGGAAAGTAGAATCAAGTACTTAAAAAGAAAGTCTCCTTTTGACTCTGCTTTCCCCAATGGGAAGATGAAGTTCCTCCTCTGACAACTTTAGTCAACAACAGTCTTATTTGATATGTCCCAGATTTGTGTGTGTGTGTGTGTGTGTGTGTGTGTGTGTGTGAATTGGATGAAGATGGTCAAAGGGTACAAACTTTCCGTTATAAATAAGTCCTGGGGATGTAATGCACAAGATGCTATCGTTAACACTGCTGTATCTGAAAGTTGCTAAGAGAGTAGATCCTAAAAGTCCTCATTATGAGGAAGAAATAATTTTTGTAACTATACGAGTATAAGGAGATGGATGTTAACTAAACGTATTGTGGTAATCATTTAATAATATATGTATGTCAAGTCATTATGCGGTATACCTTAAATTCATATAAAGCTGCATGTCAATTTTATTTCTCAAAACTGAAAAAAAAATGTCCTAAAGATATTAGAACATAAGGTTCCCTAGGATCCTAGCTTCCTGGAAACTAGACCTGAATCTAGTCCATTGGAAAATAGGGCCTTTGTCTTCACTTATCTCACTCTTTGAACTTGGTGAACAATATCCAAACACCCAGTAATATAATCTTTCATGCAAATTAGGCTTCTGAAATATTAAGAGGAATATCCTCCAGTTTCTGCTGCTATCAGAGAGAGGTATGAGAAAAAATTTTTGAAAAACTGAAAAATGCAAACTCCTCATCTTCTCAAAACAGAGACTCATGTAAACAGAGTGTAGAAAACATTTCTGTGGTGGCATTCTTTTTCCTAGAAGACTTAAGTCATTAATACCTACGACTGAAGATCCCCACATTTTCATACAGATCCTATTACGTTTCAGGAAGCTGGAAACCAATATGGAGTAGGTTAATATGGCCTTGTTGTTACCATTTGTTTCTTGCTTGAATGAGTCAGTATAATAGAGGTGTAAACGTGTAATAACGTAAAAGGAATACTTACAAAGAGGATTTCAAAGAGGTACCTATTGGATCTTAAAAAGGAAGTAGGGATAAGCTTAAAGGTCATATTAAAATCTTTCCAGGGAAACTGTAGTGTTCAGTGGTAAGATTAAAAACCACATTACTGAAATGTAGCCTGCAGCATTCAACCCATTCAACAAGTGTTTAACTGGCAACTGATGAAATAAATATTCTGAGTTGAATTCTAATTATGATGTGTTTAGCAAAGTTGAATTGCAGTGCATTTCATCTTTATGGATACAAAATTGGAATGCACAATGCTATATAAAATGTGTTCTTCTTCACTAGTATTAGTCATTAATTTTGAAGTACACGGAGCTTTACTATACTGGGAATGGCCTGCATGATTTCATTCGATATTCAAAACCCATCAAGTAGGTATTATTTGTGTTCTCATTTTACAGACGAGAAAGATGAAGGTCAAAGAGGTTAGATAACTTACCTAAGTGCCGAAGCCAGGGTTTGAATGTAGTGCCAAGTGATAACCTTGACATTATATTGCTTCCCTTCGGAGGAAGAACTGTTTCCATCCCTCTGTCTGTTCTCCCCTAACTACACCAAATAGGCTTGAATTTCAGAAAGTGACTTCCCATACACAGATATACTTTTAATAAACAATATTTACCAACTCTCAGAGTTGATTTCCTTTAAAAGGTGGGATCAAGGAAAAAACAAATAAACTTGGAAATACGTTTTCTTTGTCATAGTGGAAAGGTGAATCCAGGAATCTTTTACTTTACAAATGGAATTCTGTTTGGCCGCTACTAATTCAGTCATTATAGACCAGGAATTGGCAAACTAAGGCCAGAGAGCCAAATCCAGCCCACTGCTGGTTTTGGTACAGTCTAAAAGCTAAGGATGGTTTTTGCATTTTTAAATGGTTGAAAAAATCAAGAGAAGAATCATAATTTGTGACATGTGAAAATTATGTAAAATTCACCAAGAGCCAGCCCTAATGTAAACTATGACCTTTGGGTGATAATGATGTGTCAACGTAAATTCATCAATTGTAAGAAATGTGCCTCTGGTGCAGAATGTGGATAGTGGGGGAGGCTCTGCATGTGTAGAGGTTATAGGTGTATGGAAACCTAGAACTGCTCTTAAAAATAAAGTCCATTAAAATGTATACACATGAAATTTAAATTCCGACTCCATAAATAATGTTTTATTGAAATGCAGCCGCACTCATTCCTTTATATCTTACCTATGGCTGTTTTCACCCCACATGGGTAGAGTTGAGTAGTTGAGACAAGATGGCTCAAAAACCCTAAGATATTTACTATCTTGACCTTTACAGAAAAAGCTTGCCCATCTCTGGTATAGACCAAGATCCTGGTTGGAATGCTGCCCCAGGAGTCAAACGTCATAATCTTCCCTCCAACTCTTATTAGTTGTTTGGTTTTTGTTGCCACGCAGCTGTCCAAACGTCTGTCTCCCCGCGTTTAACCCTAAACTGACCCTTTTGAGGACACTGTTCATAACACCTTGCGTCTCCCTGTTTGGCTCCAAAGGATGGCCGGTTAGTCAATGACGGGTAAGATTCCTTGTGGGAGGAACAACCTAAGCCAGGAACGGTCAGTTGGAGGCCTTCAGGAGAAATCTCGGGGCTGATGGAGGTGGGCATGAGCCTTCACTTGCGCCCCAAAGAGACTGGAGGCTTTCTACCTCTGTAGCTACATTCCTTCCCTCAACCTGCTTGGGAAGTGACCTAATGGTGTGATAGTATCTGTCCTGAGCATAATAATCTTATCTTCCTGGGGTCTCTGCATATAGGGTGTGTGAAGGCAGAGCATCTGTCTTATCACCACAGGCGGAGGAGTCTCAGTAATAGCAACTTGCAGGCATGGGTAATCTGGCTTGAGCAAGTTCTCAGAAATGAGACAGACTGTGGAGAGAACAATGCTACTTCCGGGTACATGGAGAAATAAAAGCGGTGTGTTGGCCCGATTCGGGGCTCTTAGTCCACGAGGCTGGAGACCCTTGGCCCCACGCTCATTTAACTCTTCACTGCTGTTTCTTTTATTTCTTAACCCTTCGCCACCTCCTCTGGTTTCTCCCACTGCTTGTGTCCTGCGGGATGGGACAGGTGTTTTTTTTTTTGTTTTTTTTTTTTGTAGCTGAGCCATCCTGCCACCGGTTGGCAGCTCAGCTCAGGACGGGATTCCAACCAGCGACCCTGTTGCTCAGAGCTCGCACTCAAGCTCTTAACCAACTGAGCCACTCTGCTGGCCCTCAACCCTTACTAGTTGTGAGGCGTTTGACAAGTGACTTAACCTTGTTAGTCTCAGTTTATTCACCTTTTAAAATGAAATAATAATAGAACTCTTATAGGACCATTTTAAGGATTAAATGAGGGAATACACTGAAAGCCCCAAGTATATGTTAGTAATAATTTATTTTGATTTTGAGGATTTCACATGTTTATCTGGATATGTTTTCTCTCAACTATTTGACACTTGCATTCTTTACTTGAGGCATACTTTTGCCTGCCCAGGAGTCATCTTCTTGTCTACCAGAAGTTTCTCACGTGACCTGATTATTTTTGTTGCTTCTATTTTACCATTCAGTTTGTTCTTTTTGATCAAAATTAGCTCCATAATAGTAGTTATCCTATTACTTTCTCCAACTTCCAAAATGCAAAATTGTCGGCATGGCAAGTCAAGAACCAATTTTTCTTTTCCAATACTTAGGTAAGCTATCTAACCTCTTTGACCATCTTCCTCACCTGTAAAATGAGAACACATATGCACTTTCTTTTCAGAGAACAGTTATTAAAACATTTTTGCCATTCCACAATTCTTATAAAGCAACAACAACTGGCCATATGTCACAGGAAATTACTCTGGATGACTTAGCAAAAAAATATAGTTAAATCAACTATTCTGAAGATTTTCTAAGATTCTTATTCAGTAGAAAAAGAGGTTAATGTTATTAACCAAGAGTTTCTGGATAGGTTGGAATTTCAAAGGACAAAAGGTGCCCATTCATAAGCTACATAATTAGGTTCTGACATTGTAACAAAAGATATTTAGATTCAGCTAACATTTGTTGAGCAGCTATTATGTGCTGTGTCTTTTCCAGGACTTACAGCCTTTCTTCACACTGTTACCAGCTTTAGAGGCCAAGACAGTAAGTCAGGCTTTGGACTTTTAAAGTTCTGCAACTCTACAAGCTGGCCACTTTGGGCAAATAATTCCATCTTTCTGAGGCTGTTTTGTAAAATAGGAATAATAACGGCTGCCTAACTGAGTAGTTTTGGGAATCGAGGTAATCCATTGAACTCGTTTAGTCAGTGTGAATGAAGCACATAATACTTTTCTTTTTTACCTCAACCCCATAAAGTGCATTTCCAAACAATTCCCATTTCAGCTCAATCATGTAAAATTAAAGGAATTATCTTTCCATCTGCTAAATTTCAGGATCTCAGCTTCTTAGGGTTAGAGCAAAGGCCAGCTACCTCCTTCCTCTCATGTACACGGAAGAACTAGCTATCCAAGTGGCCCTTGTATTGCTGGGCTGTTGACATGCGACCTTAGCAATTATAAAGGATCTTCTCTGAATTTTATGCTGAGGGGTGGGGAGAGATCACAAAGTTTTCTTTGCCTCTAGGTATCTTGTTTCTAATTCATTACCGGTTTTTCATAGCTTGGGTAAAATCTCATAAATAGGGCCAGAACTAGGGTGAGACCGGTGAGGTGTCTAGGGCACAAAATTTAAGAAGACACTCTCAGGGTCGTACAAGATCTCAACACTAACAAGTTTTACTTCTTATCTGCTATATCATGAAAAAGTTTCGCCTTATTATTATTTTTTTAAGTACTAATTATACGGAGGATGTGGCCAATTGTCTTAGAGATACAGGAGGGAGGGCTTGGAATGGGAAAGAAAACGTTAGTGTTAACCCTGGTCAATTCTTATTAAACTCCCTTGAAATACATGCTGGAATTTAAATGCATTGTCCACTGATTCTTTTTTTTTTTTTTTTTAAAGATTTTATTGAGGAATTGGGAGAGGGGAACAGTGTTGGGGAATTGGGGAAGGAGACCAGCCAAGTTGTTGTTCTTCAATCTTAGTTGTGGAGGCACCAGGTTGCCATCTGGCTTCCGGTCAGCAGCTTGTGGCCTCTAAGCTCAAGGTGCTGTGTTCAATCTTAGTTGTGGGTGGATATAGCTACCATCCCATGCAGGAGTCGAACCAGCAGCCTTGTTGTTAAGAGTGCACGCTCTATACACTGAGCCATCCAGGTGGCAGCTCAGCTCAAGGTGCCGAGTTCAGTCTTAGTTGCGGGTTGGCATAGCCCACCGTCAAATAGGCAATCCTATTGTTATACCAGCTGAGTCATCTTGCCACCTATTGGCAACTCAGTGACAGCTCAGCTCGGGCCCAACGTCACTGGCACATGTGGGAATCCACCCAGCAGCCCTGTTGCTCAAAGCTGGGTCTTTTAAGCCAACTCTTAACCACTGAGCCACTCGGCCGGCACTGTTCAGGATTCTTGATGAGGAGAAGAGACCCCACTAAATGCTATACCCATGTGTTCAAAGCAAGGGGTACTTTTCAGGGTTTTTGTTTTGCCCACTCCTACCACTCTTCCACTTCGGAATCTGGGACGATGCCTCTGCAGGTTAAGTTATCCTATCTAGCTCCCATCCCAGATCACTTCCCCTCTGCCTTACGGAGAGCCCAGTGGCTCAAAATTGAATTTGGGCAGGAGGGACGCATGGGAGCATAAGAGTCCCTGGAGCCAGCGCGGCGAGCCCCAGGGCGGTGGCGTTGGGCGTTGCGTGTTGAGCAGCCTAGAGACAATGGCTGATGAAGCGAGCAGGACCTTGGGGAAAGGTGAGTCTTCTTGACAGCTGTCCACGGGCTGGGGGAACCGCGTGGCTCTGTAGAGGGGTCTGCCAGGCCTTGGCCCCCAGACCAGCGCGGTGGGGAGGGACTTGAAGGGTTCCTTTGCACAAAAGCCACGTGCAAAAAGTGTCCTCTCGGACTTGAGAGGCCGAGCGCGCAGCCCTCTTAGGGTCCCAGGGAGGTGAGTGAGCCCCTCTCCTCTCTGTGCTAATCCGCCTCC